GGCCGTGCTCGATACGATGGCGGTCGTGTTCGACACGACGACGACCGTGTTCGGCACGACGACGGCCGTGCACGACACGACGACGATCGTGTTCAACGAGCCGGACACGACGACGAGCGTGTTTGACACGACGACGGCCGTGTTCGACACGATGGCGGTCGGGTTCGACCCCACTACGATCGTGTTCGACACGACGACCATCGTGTTCCACACGACGACGACCGTGACGGACAACGGACATGACGACGATCGTGTTTGACACGACGATCGTGTTCAACACGACGACCATCGTGTTCGACACAAGGACGACCGTGTCGACCATCGTGTTCGACATGACGACGACTGCGGTGGAAGTGTTCGAGAAAACTTGTTGACGTCACCAATAAACCAGCACTGGACACGGCCGTCCACGGAGGCTTTTCTCTTTGTCTCGTGGGGGGGTTGTGGGGGGGCGGGGGGGAGAGGAGGGGCCGTGTTGGCCGAAGCGGCACTAACCTGGAGAGTGGGGCAGTTGTCGTGTCGACGTTGGCGGACCGCTGCGCTGATTCTCCCAGAACRCGAACAATGACACAATGGTGCGGCTACTCATCTGCGCGAATCGCATTTCTGCTCTGGAGTTGAACGTCATCCCCGCACCTCCGCTCTGGCCAAGGGGGGAAAACGATCGCGACCGACTGCAGTCATTGGATCGCCCCGACCGTCCGTATTCCCGGATCGGACGGCTAGCAAGCGCGCGCGGAGGGCTCACCCGAAAAACTACATATATGAGGCAGGCCCACCACTCCCCATTGGATCATCCCGRCCGTCAGTATCCCCGGATCGGACGGCCAGCAGGTGCCCGCGAAGTGCCCACCCGAAAAACTATATATATGAGGGAGGGCCACCAGTTCCCATTTTCGTTTCAGTTCGGCAACGCAGCAATAGCGCAGCGCAGCGGAGGTTCGTCGACGCAGCGCAGCGGAGGCTCGTGCCACAGCGCAGCATAGTGGAGGCTCGTGTTCAGCGTGGCAACGGAGCGCAGGGATTCGGTCCGTGCATAGAAGACCACCTGCTCGAAGCCACGGCGGACCACAGCGCTGTCGAGAGGCGTGTTCAGCGCAACGACGGAGCGAGCATACGGCCCAAGATCGTGACGCACAACCACAGCGGAGCACCCCGAGTTTGAAGGATCAGACGGTGAGGACACAACCACGCAGCCCAGATGCAACCACGTAACGCCACGTGGCACTTTCGGTCGTCGAGTCAAACACGATCGTGCCCGATCGTCGAGTCGAACACGATCGCGCCCGATCGTCGAGTCCAACACGATCGTGTCCGATCGTCGAGTCGAACACGATCGTGCCCGATCGTCGAGTCGAAC